AAAGTAATAGTTGTGAGTATAAGAGCTGCTGTAAGGTTACGTAACGCCTCTTACCTATCTGTCTCTGCAGCTGGTCATTAGAGAAAAAATGCATCAAAGCAGATGTGGGCATATGTGCTAGTACACTACCATTTAGCCTGTATGTTTTTGATCCCTTGTGAAGTATTTCTTAGGCTCCCCAGCAAAGGAATGGAAGAAAGCTAAGCAAAAGTGAGTGCTAAGTCAATTTTGGACATCTGGACTCTGTTCGTCGTGCCAACTAAAAAAAATAAGAACCGTGCCTGAGACCAGAGAAGTCTCTTCACACAAAAACACTGTGGCCACACGCAGCCAACCTAGTGGGAACAGACCCTGACCCATGCTCTTACCAAAGCCATGTCCAAACATTGTCTGGGAAAGAGCTTGTTGGCATTGGGTATAATTGTTCAAAGAACACTGCTAGCAATTATATACTCTGGACATTCCTTGACCAGTAGCTGAGTTTTCTTGTATTTACTAATATGTGTTCATCTGTAGAGGTTTTCTTCACACATTTCAACCTTGTGCTACAATCCAAAGATTTCACTGTGTTTCATTAACTTAGGTTATAGGGTGAAGAAAATCAACACTGAAGTGACTGTGCAGAGTAGTAAAAGTGGGGTTGGGCTACATAAAAATTTGGAAAAGAAGGCCAAATGGATTTCTGCAACAAACAGTTGTAACAGCACTGGTATCAGGAAAATTGAACTATTTTACATAGGCTCTAGCCAATATTTCGTGTCCCAATACAACTCATAATAGATAATCTTCTCAATATCTTTCCATAATATACAGTATCTTGTATTTATGTGGGGTTTTTTTTCCACACACTGTGATACTAATTAATGAGGTGCTATACCTATCTACATTTTCTCTGAAGTTTCAGTACATGTTAATGATGCAATTATAGAGAATATGAAGCCATTATGTTAAATATATTCTATTACGTGTAAAGTATTTGCTACATATCAGTAGGCTTGCTCACCAAGAATTTTTCCTATGGACTACAGGATTATTGAGCAAAACAGCTTGTAAAAAATAAATTAACAGGCTGCACCATTGTATACATTAGAAATACATAGTATCTCAGTGATACAAGGAACATCTCTGATCTACGATATTGGAACCAAACAAGAATGATATTTATTAGTGATTATCACTTTAAACCAACACTGAAATTGTTTTTTATTAATAGATTTGGTTATTGAGCTGTGATCTGAGGCAGCTGAGGTGCCAGCACGTTATTTTCTTTACTGTTTCAGGGCACAATAACCTCTTCCAGTGGTGCACAGAGAACAAGAGAATTTAAGCTTTAAATCTTCTGTCCCCCTTCAGCAAGATCTACCACAGGATGTCTGTCCTTGCTACTTTTATATGTCCCTTGAATTTTGCCCCTCTTGATGACCACTTGCATTGATGTATGCTGGTATTTGCCCTACAAATATACTACAAAGACGAGATAAGTTGCTTTAGCTTCCAGAGGGTTTCCCCCCCCCCCCCCCCCCCGGAATCATAGCACTGGTGGATAAATTTAGGGTTTTCAGGATGAATATGGAAGAAACCTTTAAAGTTCCTCTTCCAGGAACAGGTATTTAGGGTCCAGTGGCAGTGAATATTGTATGCTACTCAGTTGCTGCTGAGACTTTCAGAGAAGCAAACTATGTTACATTTTGCCCCAGGAGTGGACACGGTATACTATTTTTTCTAAATAGAGTAGCTGATACCTAATGCAGATAAACAGGGGAAATATAAAGATTATTAACATTACCCCAAAAGAGTTACTGAATTACAAGACAGGTTTTCATAATTGTTTATTAATTTACTTCATAACCTGCAGCACTGATGACACTGGAATACAGTTATTTGTATAACCGGCTCTATGCAGATTTTAGTGATGATGGGGAATTAACTATACATTAAAAATACCGTTACTGGGTAGTTCTTATATAATCAAGTAGACTGCTTCATAATGTATTATTATTCTCATGATGATTTAACAACTTGTATCACAGATGCATTAGATGAAGTAGCAACAGCACCAGAGATAGCAGCATAAACATCATGCTCCACTGCCTGCCCTGTGCTAAAGAAATTAGTGTGGGAGGAAGAAACATAACATTGTGAGTGCTGAGACTGACAGCCATGGAAGTGATGAAGTCTTATGAAATCAACAGCACGTGGGATACATACTCACCAATTATGATGACAGGGTTTCACTAAAAGGTGGACCCGCTATCATTACACCCAAACAGAGCTGTTAAGACAGTTTCCAAATGATCAAGCGCAGCATATATGGTTTTAAATAGATAATAAAAGTTGGTTGAATCTAGCAGGCCTTCTAATGCAGTCTCATCCTGTCTCCTATCAGTATGAAGTTTGAAATGTAAATATTTTTTTCATTCTGGTTTTGGATTGTTATTCTCATCTCATCATCTCAAAATACTTTGTAGCCCCTTCTTGTCAGGGATGGCACACTGTCTTGGTCCCACACGCTGTACCAAGAGCTTGGCTGATGTCACCGTGTTTGTAGCACCGGTCAAGTAATACGTGTGCTACTGCCAACTGCAGAGAAAATTCTCAGGAAGACCTGTGGGGTAAGGGATTTTGTTTGTTTGTTTGTTTGTTTTTCTGAGCAGAATGCAGGATTTATAAAAAATATTTTGTGTATAACTGACCAGCTTCGTTGTGAGGTGTGACAGAAAGCATGCTGCATTTATTTATCCTGAAGCTGGAATGCTACACTCTTTTACATAGGCTGGGAGAAGGGAGGAAAGATTACTTCTGCCTGGTACCCTCACTGGGTGTATGGAGGGTGGAAAAGGTCTGCAAAGCTGCTAGGTGTGCGATTCTGAGAAAAAAAAATTGGTAGCCCACAGTACAAGCAGTTCAAGGAAACCCTGGTTTTGGCTTTGTTCTTTTTTTTTCTCCTCTCATTTATCAAAAGCCTTTGGGAAATACCTGTAAGGAAATTATCTAGGCAGATCCACCCCAAAGCTGTAGCTCATTTGGGAGTCTCATCATAGAAGTGGCTGGAAGACAATTCTCAGTTTACTGAATTTGTACTGACACAAGCGACCACACGGAATCCTGTTTGTAGACTTAGCAAACTGCAAAATCTTGTTAAAGCCTCTGAATTCATAATTGGTTAAAATCAGCTTATTTTTGTACCAGCACTGGCATTTCTGTTTGCATTGCTTTTTCTTCTTTTGGGCTTTCAAATTAAAAAAAAAAAAAAAAAGGAAAAAAGCTAGAAGCACTTTCTGTAGTTGGAAATTGTCTTTCTTAAGTGTGGGAAGACATAATTAAACATAGTATTCTGGGTCAGGTCTTACCTTTACCTTGTAGAGCAGTACAGTGTTTCCTTCTGGATATGCCTCAATTGTCATGTTCTGGAATCGCATACAACTTTTTCTTTAATGACTGTATTTCTTTGTTCAGAGGAGCTGTGATCAATTAGCACAACCAATTCTTTCCTCTCTTTTATTTTCCACTCAGATGCTTAAAGAAGTAATTCTTAATAATGTCCAAGATTCATTTTGTACCCTTAGATTTCATCCTGTTACTATCATTTAGGTCTTCGGCATCATGTCATTTCTCTGGAATGATATTCTGATCTTCTCTTAACAGTAACATCTTAACAGCTTTGTGTCAACACCACATTTTAGCAGCATGCTTTTGTGCAGAGATCATTACTACAAATATTAAATGAGACTAATTTCTGGAATGATTCCTAACAAAAAACACTCATCACTTTTTTCTAGCTCAACAATTTTCAGTGCAGCTTCATCTCCCATTTACTTCAGTCTGGAGCCACCTTTGTATTCCTCTTCTTGTCTGGCTTTTTGCAGATCATTGCTACACAAGTTTCACAATACTTCTCAAATGAGTGAAAAGTGGTACTGATGTCTTAGCAAAATATTTATTGCTCGGAATTCATCTTTTCGTGCAGCTGCAGAGCCTACTCCTATTGAAGTATTTATAGCACACCCTTCACCAAAGTCCAAGAAACCCATGGCAAGCAGAAAAAATACATATTTACACAAAGCCCACTCGGAGGACTGCTGCATTTGAACACTGGAAGTTTTCCTTCATGAATACAACTTTGCAAAGCTATTAAGGATTTGTCATATTTGAATACCTAAGGAAATTAAGGCATTATTTGTCTTAATTATTGTGTAAAACAGTAAGAAAAATCAATGAAATCCTGGAATATCTAGAGTAACTTTGGTTAATGCTTGTTTATACCAAGCCACACGCATGAGGTCATATTCGTTTCATGTTCACAGTTAAAATAAGTTCATTTGAAGAACATGTTAGTAGTAACACAGAGAAGTGAAAAGAGTTAAAATTTTTAGGTCTGTCTTGTATTTTTAAGCTCCATGACAAAATTGGTTAGTACCATTTTACAGCACAGAGAATAATGCTGTCTCTGTTTTATGTACAGTGCCAACTGAGAAGTGGCTTTTTTCCCTTTTACTTGGTGACATTTTCTTTTTGATTATTAAAAATAGAAAAGGACAGTTGCATACTGAGATTTGCATTAACTTCATAAATTGTTAATCCTGAAAAGACATGCTGCTCATGGAGGGGGTTAGTTTAATGCTGCGGATGGCCATTCAGTGACTATCACGGTTTCTTATGTCTGAAATCATGCACATCAGGCAATATTTGCTTCTCTATAAATTGAGCCCATTCTTAGGGTGCCCCTTGATGCAAGCAAGAGTTTTATTTATTTTTTTAAAAAAGGTCAAGTAAAGACAATAGATGTAAGTAAAATGATTGTCTAGCTTGTGTCCCTGAGCAGAGATGAATGGGAAGCAGGCTTGCAGCACGTCTTGAATGTCAGGACCGATGCTCCTCCTTAGAGAGCATTGGCTCCCAGCTCTTCCCTGCGAGGGCTCTCACCTTGGGTGGCCCCATCCCGATACCCGGGCTGGGCAAACGCTAGGGCATCCAGCCATGTGTTACATATGCTGAGCAGGATGCCTGGACCCACCGACCGCACAGTCAGTGCTGTGGTGGTCCTTTTTGTGGAAAGTGGGTGCCCGTTTTCCTATGTGGAAGCTTCAGCCCAGGACGGACAGGCACCACCAAGTGATGCTGGGAACCTGTGGTGGGAGGCAGGACAGGAAAGGAGCATGGCACATGCCTGTGGATACTTATGTCCCAGTTAAGGCAGGATTTTGCCATGCGTTTCATGTCATGTTACTTTTGTTAGCTTTGTCTCTGATCAACTGCTGCGTATACTACCATTTCCAAACCTGCTTCACTAAACTGAAATGCTCAATGTGCTTAGGAAAGTTTTTGTCAAAAAAACGTGATGGGGAGGGGGGACCTTGGAATATTTCATTGCTTACATGACAAGAGACTAGCAAACATCTAAGCTGTGTTCCAGCTTAGGGGAAGACTGAAAGTCACATCAAAAAAAGAAGATTTAGGTACATACGCTGGAACTTAGACAAAGTCTAAAATGTCATCCTAAGAAACCTGACTCGGCTATTGGTTCACTCTGGAAACACTTGCAATCTCTAGCAGAGTTTCCCACTTTCCAGGCTTTTAGCTTTCCATGTGCGTGTGCCTGGGCCACCTGCTGAGGTTGTTCCACGAGGCAGAAAATAATTCATCATCTAACAAAGATGAATCCTTTCCTAGCAGCTATGTTTTAAAAAACATATCTAAATACACAAACTACAAAAAATAAACTGCAAGAGCAACACAATGGTTCTAATACAGAATATAGACCGAACAGTGCAGTTTGCTGAAGAGCATGAAAACGTTTCCGAGTTTTTGGAAACCAAGAGGTTTTAGAAGGTGCTAAAAAGAAGAGGCGCTAAGAATCTTCAGGTCCAACTGTAACATTGCCCAATATAGGAGCGTGGCTCTCTTGGACATATTCAGGTTAATGCATGAAAATAAAGGAGACGCGCTCACTGAACCTAACTCCTGCTCGGTTGTGAGCGTGATGAAAGACCAGAGTACCTTCATCAGCACTGCTGACATGAAGCTGGATTCACAGCAGTGTAACTCCATTCAGACTCTGAGCCATGCTATCAGAAATGTATCCATCTGAATGTGTCAGAATTCAAATTCTCATTATTGAGGATGACAATAGCAGTAGGAAGCAGCGGAGATGATGATTGTAAAATAATTGCCTGCCTCCACCTGCTGAGGAACAAAGTGGCATTTTTTGTGTTATATGGTTATATTACATAATGTCTTGCCACTAGTAGAAATGTATTTCTATATCTATGTTTTTAGTGCTGTATCTGCATTATCCATAGATACTGCATAATCCAGAGATACTATTTATTCTAATTACTTTACCATACATGTTAAAATTATTCCTATTCTTTGTTCCTTTCTCCCTTTTGTTCTTTTATATAAGGACATTAAATAGCTTCAGACAAATATCATAAAAGTGATCTGTGGAACTATAGGTTCAGTTGTATCACAGACATAGGGTGATGTAGGATGGGGAAAATATATTTATAGCACTGATTGTGTTCAGAAAACTCTGCTGAAATATTTTTTCAGTTAAAAATATGGGTTTCATCAAAAGCTAAAATATTTTAAGCACATGGATTTAAATTTTTTTTCTTAGGAAAAAGTAATTTAAAGGAGAAAACCAGGTGATTTCCAAAAGCATTGGAAGTTAATTTCATAAATTTGAGTTATTTTTTCTACTTAGGTGGATTTCCCTACTTTCTTTATGTTATCGTATAAAAATAAACAAGCATCTGACTTGCTGAAATGGCAAAGCTTTATGTCTTCAAACAAAAGACAAAAGTCAAAAACCACCCTGAGCAAGAGAAGAAGCAATTCTGTTCCAGACCCTTAGATATTTTTAAAAATGCCATACCTCTGCTATGATTAGAATATTACAAACACCTGTATTTTCTGTTCTCTTACTATGAATATCTACTGAGGAGGATAAATTATAAAAAAATAATATCAACAGCAGAAGGTTGAAAATCAAAGTGAAAGAAGTGATAAAGTTTACTGTAAAGAATGGTGTTTTACTTTATTTTGGTTTTTTATACAAGGAACAGTTGACAGCACTTGTGTCAGAAAATGTTTCACAATTTAAGGAATCCTGTTTAAAGTCTTTCTCTGAAGAAATACAAATATAGCCATAGATTGTAGCTAAGATTGTAGCTCTTACTTTATGTTCGTATAGTTATGAGGAACACACTCAACTAGAATAATAAATGCCACTGGATTGCAGTCACTGTTCCCTGTCTGTGAAGCCCCTAAGCTGTGGCTGTGGGGAAGTGGAAGGATGTGTCAGGAAAGGGAGTTCTCTTTACACATTTCCTTTTTTTGTTTTGTTTTGTTTTGTTTTGTTTTGTTTTGTTTTGTTTTGTTTTAGATGCAGACAGCCTCTTACAAAGGAAATCTCAACGTTTTTGTTCTGTCAATAAAAGTCCCTGCCAATCTTCTTCTCCTGTCTGTGACCTTGCCTGGAATACAGGTGGCTCTAAAGCTCTGCTGTTTGTGCATACCAAGGATACCACGAAAGCTAGATCTGAAGGGTGTAAGTTACGATATCTTGTGTGAAGAAGGTAGGACTACATATCAGCACATTTTTCTTCCTCTTTTCCACATCTGTTTACACGCTTTAAGGTGAATAAAAAACAAATAGGAAGGCATAATTTCGTGAACTTTTGACTACAAAGTGAAAACCAGACAAAGTCAACCAGAAGCAGCCAGAAGAACCAACATTGCGATCACTGGATTTTCATTCGTCTTTTCCACTAAGGACTTTGACTTCCTTTGCTTTCATAAATTTGTCAAGCAACGGTACTACTGTGGTATACCATGCATTACCAGACCAGAAATACTAGTGAGCATGTGCAAGAGGGACCTCTTCTACAGTCTTATGAGATAAACCTTGATTTTACTTTCTCTTGCCCTAGCTGTACTTTATTTTATAACCCCAAAATAAATTTGGAATTTATTTTGTAAGAAATCAGTGGAATTTATTCTGATATATTATTAGTGCTCAGTTGTCATATAATATTTTCAGCAGTAGATCTTGAAGCATTTTACAGAAGAGATGATTCACATTTTGCAGATGGAGAAACTCAGGCACTGAGACTGGAGCACCCTGACTGTGATATTGACATTGAAAAGCAGAAGAAAATTACATTTTCAGATACAAAATCAATTTGTTCAGGGTAACTGCCTTGTTGTATCTGAGAGCTCAATGTACAGCTGAATAGGAAAGATATACTATCATTGGTAAAACTTGCTTAAATGAAGCTAGCATGCAAGGGAATCAAAATAGTAATAGTAGGAGAAACAAGTATGTAGGAAGCAAAATATTTTACTAGAAGAAGCCCGAGACTGATGAATGTAGCAATAGAAGAGTATTTTGACCCTGGGGTTGTTTTTGGGGAATAGAAAAAGAAGAAAGAGAAGAAAGAGAAGAAGAGAAGAAAGAGCACACATAGCCCTGATTAATAACTGTACGGATTGCACTTGGAAAGCTGAATTAATAAATTTGCATCATTGGCCACTGGCAGTCCTTCTGCATATAGACAGGTCTTTTTTGTCAGCTCTGCTTGGTGACAGAGAAGAAGCACCATCTCAGCTATCATCAGAAGCAGGTTTCAGTTTGGATTGCTGTTGGAAACTTCCAAATGCAGAACTGCAGCTGTTATTGTAGACTCATGTTGACATCTGTAAGGCAACAAATGAATCTTGTGTTCTGAAGGTGTAAATATTCCCAAGCCTTACAGCTATTAGAAGAAAGATGTGTTTTCATGTCAACTGCCATTTATCTCTTTCTTCATTTTGTGCATTTTAGGTTTTTGTACAACTAAGGTATGATAGCTCTTACATGAATGCAGTGAAAATGTGAATTAATACAAAATAAGATTACACTCATGATAAATGAGCACTTACTAAAATGCATCGAATGCTGCTTTTCTAACTCAGTGACTATTTTTGTGTGATAATATTCCAAAGTAGTTGTTCCATCTGCTGGTCAGTCCTCTGCTGAGCCAGTCAAAGATTGGAAAAGAAAATAAGACAAAGTGAATTATTTTAGCTTTAATGAAACTCTAGTAAAACAATTATTGGCTGTGCCTTTGGTCAAACTGAGGCAGAATTATTAGTGATAATCAGAGTGAGGGTGTCACTTCCTATGTAATGTTTTTTACCATAAGATAGGTTACTATAATGAAATGAAAATCACAGAATCACAGAATGGTAGGAGTTGGAAGGGACCTCTGGGGATCATCTAGTCCAACCCCCCCGCCTGCCAAAGCAGGGTCACCTACACCATGTTGCACAGGACTGCGTCCAGGCGGGATTTGAATATGTCCAGAGAAGGAGAATCCACAACCCCTCTGGGCAGCCTGTTGCAGTGCTCTGTCACGCTCAAAGTAAAGAAGTTCTTCCTCATGTTCAGCTAGAACTTCCCATGCTTCAGTTAGTGCTCGTTGCCCCTTGTCCTGTCGCTGAGCACCGCTGAAAAGAGTTGGGCCTCATCCTCCTGACACCCACGCTTAAGAAACTCAGAAGATCCCCTCTCAGCCTTCTCCAGGCTAAACAAGCCCAACTCCCTCAGCCTTTCCTCATAGGAGAGATGCTCCAGTCCCCTCATCATCCTCGTAGCCCTCCGCTGGACTCTCACCAGTAGTTCCTCATCTTTCTTGAACTGGGGAGCCCAGAACTGGATGCAGTACACTAGGGCAGAGTAGAGGGGGAGGAGAACCTCCCTCGCCCTGCTGGCCACACTCCTCTTAATGGACCCCAGGATCCCATTGGCTTTCTTGGCAGCCAGGGCACACTGCTGGCTCATGGTCAACTTGTCATCCACCAGCACTCCCAGGTCCCTCTCTGCAGAGCTGCTCTCCAGCAGGTCAGCCCCAAGCCTGTACTGGTGCATGGGGTTGTTCCTCCCCAGGTGCAGGACCCTGCACTTGCCCTTGTTGAACCTCATCAGGTTCCTCTTTGCCCAACTCTCCAGCCTGTCCAGGTCTCCCTGAATGCCAGCACAGCCTTCCATTCTATCAGCCGCTCCTCCCAGTTACAAAAATGTTCAGGTTGGTCTGGCAAATGAAAGTTGATGTAAAAATTTTGAATGGTACTGTCTGTTCACTCTCCCAAGATGTTTTTTCCCTTCCTGTTATCATTCTTTTTTGGTACTATGCAAAGCTACAAAAGCCACTCAGCTTCTAATCAAAACATTCTTCAGATAATTTGCTGGAATGTAGGACTGTGGTGAAATGTATAAATAAATGTGTGTTTCTCCACTAAAATTCTCATACTTTTTCTTGTACGGCTTTTTTTGTTGTTTTCTTTGCCTGCATTAGGGATAAATTAGTTATCGACTAATAGTACCTATATTTCAGTACTGCTAAGACGTGTTTTGAGAATAGCTCAACATTTTATTAAAAAAATTCTAAGAATAATGTAAGAAATGAAATTTTAACTAAAGAACACTGTCACCTTTTTTATATAGCCTTCTGTACTCATTTGGGATTCAGTTTGCAGGATAGTGGAAAACCAGTCCATGTTTTACTATGTATCATTTTTATAATTTAAAAACTTTGCAGATGTAGTTAATATTTCAAGAAAGAATGGGTTTAGACAAACACACTTCAGTCTGAGCTGGGCATAATTTACTCCTTGCTGGGCATAATTTACTCAGTGCAAACTGTAGTAAGTAATTAAATCTCTCAGTTGTGTATATTGATTGTGTTTCCTGATAGATGTCTGAAACATTCGGAATACGAGGAGGATGAATTCTTACCCTTTCTAATGCTGGTTTCACCCGGGCTAGGAACTAGACACTTTGTTACTTGGTCAGGGATGGAAACCTTGCATGCAAATGCAACTGTTAAACACAACTAGCAGTCACCTTATAGAAAATGTTTCTTATGAGAGATTTGAGGAATAAATAAATATTGCAAGCAAGATTGCTTGCAAATTATGTGTTGCATGCGTAAGCAAATTTGAATGAGAAGGATATATAGTATCTGCAGGACAAATCTTACAAGCGTCAAGTTGCTCAAAACACGTCTGGTGTCATTTATCCCTTGATTTCTGCTGCAAGAAGATAGGAGGAGCTAATGGGGAAGAGCTAGGGTGAGGCAAGAAAGTGTTGTAGGAAATGTTGAGGAAAACATGGAAAAGCCAGCCAGGATCTGGCTGCTCCATAGACCTATGTAGCTGCTTAACCAAGGACACAGAAAAGTCTTGTGGAAAATGGTGTTTTCAACTATATTTGAATAAGACTCAGATGCACTGAAGAAGCAGAGTCCCATGTTTGGATGGAAATTGCTCATGAGCACTTTTGTGTATATTAAAAGCAACATGGATTTTTAAATCTTAAATGGACTTGCTTAGAAATATGAAGAATTATATTTCTAAGGAAAGGTCTTGCTTTCCACCTGATGCTGCTTCTTACTTGAGGAAGAAGATACCACTAATATCTGCAAAGTTATTGTATTATTATCTTTCAACATCCTCCTTAAAACTCTCTGGTTTTGTGCTGCTCATGTGAATTTTGACAAAAGATTAGACAGCTGGAGGTCTGAGACAACCAGCCTATCATGCTGACCAGTACTGCATTTTTTGGTACTTTCCCATCTGTTTGCCTCTTTCCAGCTGTTGTTTCTTGTCTTGTTCTTAGATTTTAACCTGTTCAGGGCAAAGGTCAGCTGTTAATTAATGATGATGCAGTCTAAATACATTATGCACAATGTAGCCCTAGAACATATAGTCTTCAAGGAAAAAGAAATTAATATTAATAACAACAACCACCTCAGTAATAGCAGTAAATCCTTTTTAGACTTTCCTTTCTATTACTTCTATAGGATTAAGTGATGAGGAAGCATTTAGGTTAGTTCAAGATACATAACATCACTTTTGTCTTCAAGTGTTATCCAGGAAGTGGCTGAATAAGTTTTGCAGTATTTCAAATATTTCCTTTAAGGATCTCTGTATGTTTTGAATTTCTAAATGTGACCAGTGTAGTCCTGTCCCTTCAATGCTGTTGGTTCTGTCTTATCAAAAATGTAGTTTGTTCTGCAAATACTCAGGATTTCAGTTAAGAGCTTCACATTGTCTTTACTGTACTGAAGTTGAAATCTGTAGGATTTCACTGTTTCCCAGGGAGAAGTCATATAATGAATTGAACCTTCAGGTTTTTTATCTGTTTGTGGTTTATGTCATACAGTAATAATATTTTCTTTGTCTAAGTATGGATAGATAATATTTTTAGATTCATATGATTTTCAAACTGTTTTGCTTTTTGCAGAGGACGAGATATTGTGTGCAGAGTAAATTTGTTATCCTTTACGTATTCAAGAATTTTTATTTTACTTAAATATATACCATATAAAGAAGATTAGTTTTCTGCCTATGTATTTATATTTTCTGTAGCTTGGAGTGAATGCTTTGAATGTTCTGTAAGGCTGATCTAGGAATTTGGATCTAAAGGTAGTGTGTTATTATTGGCATGTGTTTACATAGTTTAGGATGCAATGCCCCATTAATTTCATACTGTTTTACTTTATTTTTCATGTACCAGATCTTAATGATAAAATAG